GAGAGAGGGAGAGAGAGAGAGGGAGAGAGAGAGAGGGAGAGAGAGAGAGACGTGGGGGTAGCAGGAGAGAGGGTGGGAATGACGTCACACGGCCGGAGGGAAATGTGTGCCACCGTGGTGGAGGGCTCGGGTAGAGGGTTTGGGAGGGTGGGGGGAGGGGTAGATCCTGTCCTATCTTTGGGAGGACATCGTCCCGATCGGCACTGCTCCACGCGAGAGGGGGGAGTGGGGGGGGGCATCGGTCAGGTGATCCACGGCCTGTGAGCGAGGGAGAGATAGGCGATGATGATGGTTGGGAGGGAGAGAGGGGGGCATGGGTTGACTGGACTCGCCCCTCTTACTATCTCTCTCTCTGTCTCTCTCTCTGTCTCTCTCTCTGTCTCTCTCTCTCTCTCTCTCTCCCTCCCTCTCGCGAGCTCTCTCGCACACTTTTTTGCTCGCTTTCTTTGCTCTCAAAACAAATTATTTGCTACCACAATGAGTTTGTGATTAATTATTAGTAAACTTTTAGTACCATAGCGACAAATTCTTTCTTAGTTTTGTGACACTGTTCTAGTCCGTCATAGTCACTCCGTCCCTCTCGGTTCATCTCCAACACAACAACCTCTAAACCGCCGCTGGCCAAGAGAGGCGGCCGCAACAGCGCAGACGGATGAAGGGGGTGCGACTCCTGGCCGGGAAGTGAGATGAGAGGAGGTGGGGTTGGTGGCATGGCGATGAGGGTGAGGGTGCTGGGTAAGGGGTAGGGTTTCAGGCCGGTGGTGACTGAAGGGAAGGATGGGATGGAGCTGACGGAAGCGAAGGCGCTGACCCGAGGAAAGGGGGTCCGCGAGAAACACACACTAGTATACTTCTTTCGAGCTCAAATGCGGTTATTTTTCTCGCCTTCCTCCTCCTCGCGGACCTTTGTTACGAATCTCTTTCTCTCCGTCCCTGTCATCTCTCTCTCTCTCTCGTTCTCTCTCTTCCTCGCGCGCACTCTGATGGACCTGTCGTGCGCGAAGCCGACGAGGACGCGAAAGAAGAGGAGGAGGGTGGTTTCGGAACTTTCCTCCGGCTGTCCAACTTCCGGGCCGCGCGTGTCTCATAGCGCGCGAATTAAACTGGCCGCGCGCCGGGGGGGTCAGGAGGGCGGCGGGAGGATGAGCTTCCGGCTTCCGCTATAAGCGGGTCAGGTCAGGACGAGACGCGCGCGTGGCGGGGTATTCGAACGACAACTAAAACTGTTGTGTTGTTTCGGTGCCTCCGCGAGGAAGTGCCTGCTCGGAGGAAGCGCCTCCTCCGCCTCCTGGGGTCGGCCGGAGACACTCGCACCAGTCAGTCACTCACAAGCCGCAGCCGCGGTCCGCGCGGGAGGCAAAAGTTTCTGACCGCGCGCTGGAGTAATTGTTATCTGGTGCAGCGCGGAGCCCATTGTGTCGCTATACAAGCGGGGCGGGGCGGGCGGGG